TACCGTAATAACTTCGTCATGACTTCGAAAACCCGAGCAGAGCGGTGGAGAGCTCTTATGTATTCCAGCCTATATTTAATCTTGCATTCTAGAGTTTTTAGTACACAGGATAACAAAGAGATGGGACGATAAGAAGATGAAGAAGTTCGCGTCTTTCTCAGGCTTAAGGATGAGTGTAACCTCTCCAAAAGCGTCCATTTTTGTTTTGGTTATCTCTTTAAATTTGAAGTAATAACTTTTTGACAACGTCTGGTAAGTAGTGAAGCATGTGATATTTGATGTAGTCGTAGCCTGGGCTTGTGCTGCAGTTATTTTGGAGGGCGAATTCTATGTCCATTTCCCTATAGGATAGATATCTAATAATAAAAATGTTTTTGAGGTGGATACATATCTATTTGAGTCGGTGACTGAAAAAGGTTTCTACGCACCAGAAGGTTTATTTAGAGATGAAACTCCGAGCGAAACCCATTCGATCCAGTTTGAAGAAATTTTTTTTGTTCTAGCAGAAACTTCTTGATATTTTAAAAAGTTTACAAGTTAAATTGGTTTTGTAGTCAGCCAAGGATTCTTGCCGTTTTTAGCGCATTTCCACAAAAATCAAAAAAATGCGTTATTGTGGCCACTTTGTCCGTCCGTCCGCTCGTTCGTTGAGACGCTACTAGTTCTTTATCTTAAGAGCTATTGTTCTACTTAATTCGCTACTTGGTTCGTTATGGTGTCGAGACTTGCACCAAGGAAGGAATTTTTTCTGCGTTTATTCCTAAAAAAACCAACAAACCGTTTTTTATTTGTTCCATAATTTTACACTTTTGCCGTTTATAATTTTGTATTGCTGTTTGTCGTCTGTCTGTTGGTTTTTCCGTATGTCCTTTGTTTGTCTGTCCCTCTATCTGTCCGTGTGAACGATAATTTTGTTTAGAAATGTCCGATCACTTTTAGATCTCCGTTAGTTATGAACTGAATTGCATGAAATTCAATATGGGCATAGCTTTAGCCATATGATACGCAATGCCAAAAGTTTAGTCGAATCGATTCAAAATTCACAGTAGGTACCCTTTTCGCATCTCGACCACTTATAAACAGAATTGCAAACTTTTTTATTTATAAAAGTATTTGAATGAAATTTGATACATAGGCACATAGGCAAGTGCTTATCACTTGGAATAAATGAAAATCTAACGCCAGTTTCAAAATCTGGTTTTGCGCATGCGCAGTGCCAACTTTTTTATTTATGGGAGTATTTAAACGAAATTTGATACATAGGCGCTTGGAACAAAGGAAAAGAAATAGAAAATAGAAATAATTTATTACTGTAAACAAGAAAATTTCACAACCAAAGTTACAGTCGATAGACACTAATTTTATTGAATACAGCTAGGCACCTCATTAGCATTAGCTGTGTTGAGGTTGCCTTCATAATTGAAAATGAGAAAATGACTAAGGTGGCTGCTCCCCTAGCAGCAATACCAACATACTATATACAACATTTAAATAAAAATTAATACTGGAATAATTAATAATTAACTAATTCATTAGTTAAATGGCAGAATGCAAGACTGCTTCATCGCACTATACCTACATTATACTAGTGTAACACAAATGTGGTAGTACCTTTGTATATATCTGTGCTAATTTTACAATCATTATTAGATATGCTCAAACGAAAAATATTTATATAATATAAGGAAACTATAATAAACATAATACTAGAAACAGTTTCATGGCTAAAAGTAAACAGTCACGCTTTTAATCCTTTTAAAAAAATGGTCACTCTATTTAAACTAGTGATAGAATATGGAAGTTTATTGTAGAATTTTACACAATTGTATAAATAAAACCGCTTAAAAGCCTCACAAAAGGGTCTTGGTAAGGCTACTCTATTACGAATTATTACGAAAATCTAACGTTAGTTTCAAAATTTAGATTTGCGCATGCGCATGCGCAGTTCCAACTTTCTTATTTAGAAAAGCATTGAAATGAAATTCTTGTTATAAACTGAAATTGAAGTAGCACGTCAAAAATGGATTGCATATTTGCAACGCTATCTTTCATATTTATGGCCGGATTTTTACGATTTTAACAATAGTTACAAAACCATAGTAGAAGTCATCACAGCCGCGTCTGAAATAGCAATCCCCATAAAAAGTTACCCAAGGAACCGCAACAAAGTACCATGGTGGAATGAGAAGTGCAGAGCAATAATAAAGATGAAGAACTCGGCGTTTAACAAATATCGAAAATACAAAACCATAGAACATCTAATACAATACAAAAAACTCAGAGCGCAAGCACGAAGAACCATTAAAGAAAGTAAACAAAAATCCTGGGAAGATTTTGTAACATCAATTAACACAAACACCAGCAACAAAGAAATGTGGGAAAAGATCAAAAGCATTAAAGCTATCCACAAACCATTTAACATCCCCGGATTAATAACACCTGACAGCACCATCACAACAACGACTAAAATAGTCGAGACCTTAGCAAAAAATTTCGAACATATTTACAATACACAAACCTACACAGACTCATTCCTGAGACACAAACAACAACTTGAAGACACCCCCATACCCACTGAACTCGATGATGACGAAAGTTATAATAAAACCTTCACATCGCTGGAACTTGAAATAGCACTGAATAATTGCAGAGACACAGCTCCCGGACCCGACGGAATACATTACAACATGCTTCAGAATCTGCCACCACCATTCAAAACCACTATTCTATATCTTTACAACCGAATATGGACGGAAGGCAACATCCCCGCGTCATGGTGCACTGCTACAATAGTCCCAATCTTGAAAACAAATAAAGAAAAAGCCGACCCAAACAACTACAGACCAATATCACTCACAAATACTCTATGCAAAATCATGGAACGAATGGTAAACTACCGCTTAAACTGGATCCTAGAACAACAGAACCTCCTCACATCAATACAAAGTGGATTCAGACGCCAGCATTCAACTATTGACCACATAGCTAAACTCGAAATGGAAGTTAAAAATGCGTTTACAAATAAAGAATCCTTAATAGCAATACTCTTAGATATTAGTAAAGCCTACGACTCGACCTGGACAAGAAGAGCGATTAATATATTGATGAACTGGGGATTCAAAGGGAGACTTATAACATTCATAAAAAACCTAATCACCGACCGAAAATTCCATGTTGAAATTGGTAACGTCAGATCAAATACGTACTCCCAAACAAATGGCCTTCCTCAAGGTTCATTACTCAGCGTTACCTTATTCCTGATCGCAATAAACGATATCGGTGACCACGTCCACTATCCAGTGCAAGCAATGCTATACGCCGACGACTTAATAATCTTGACAAGAAACGACGACATAGAAGCTATCCGTCAAAATCTCCAAAAAACCTTACAAGACCTGGACAGCTGGAGCACAAGCACAGGATTCAATTTTACCGCCCACAAAACCAAATGCATCCACTTTACACGAAAACATAGACAAGACAACCCGCCCCTTACACTGAACAACATACAGCTGGAATACAAGAGCCAAATAAAATACCTTGGAGTCATATTTGACAGTAAGCTAACTTGGGCACCACACATAAAAAAACTAAAAACCGACTGCAAAAGACCACTAGACATAATAAAAACAGTCTCACATACAAGGTGGGGTAGCAACAAAGAATCGCTCTTACGAATATTTGACACCTTAGTACAGTCCAAAATAGACTACGCCGGTTTTATAACAGTAAGCCGTAATAAAAGTTTAAACAAACTGGTAGAATCAGTGTATAACCAAGGCCTACGATTAGTTACCGGCGCTTTCAGATCAAGCCCAGCAATTAGTATCTACAGCGAAACCGGGAAAACCCCTCTAAAATACAGATACAACCAGAAGTTATTAAAATACGCAATTAACATTATAGCGAACAAGAAACACGCGAACCATAATAACCTTGTCTACCCCCCTTTCCCAATACTGTAACGGTTAAATTTTTGAACAAGTCCCACAAATAGAAAAATATAATTGTACATAATGAAGTACGGTTAGAGGTTTTGTTATGCATGCATGTAGCGGAGAATAGTATACTTGTGAATGTAGATTGTAGTTATTGATCTCCAGTGGCGGAGACGTTAGGAATTTCGTTGTTAATCATTTGTTCCCGTTTGCTACTGTTTTTACGCAAGCAACTGTTTTGCTAGGTTAGTAGGTTACTTATTATAGGATCCAGTCATCAATTTAAGGGCTGTAAGCGGCCTGCCATGTTTGTCAATGTAGGGAACGTCTATGTTGGTTTATCTGAGGAATTTTTGGAGGTCTTTAGGTCAGAGCCGGTATCTTCAAAACCGATAATAACGTTGAAAATCCTTCCTTTTGATCACCGACCGTTGTGGCACTCCCATGTTTGAGGAAATCGTTAAATCCTTAATTATTGGAAATTTGTCAGTACTCCAGTCTTCTGGGTTAATTACGAAAAGCGATAGTACTTGGTATTGCCGTGTATCATTGTGGATACGTTTATTTTGGGCAATTCTTCACCTTTAGTGTGGTTTTGTTATCGCTTAACGTTCTGAGGTAAGCGCCATTTTGTACACATTGTAGATTGGTAACGATGTTCGTTCTTTTAAGGCTGACTGGATTGGGAAAAAACCCTGTACGTGTATTGCACTGCTTATTGGTTGAAATTGTTCAACGTAGGGATATTTCCGAAAATTGTACAGGTTTTTTTTTTGTATTATTTGTCTAATTTAATAAATTACCTTCAAACTGGGAATCGGTAAATGGAATGCATATGTTTGGCTTGGCTGTGATTGTTGAAGATTGTTTACCTGCGATTGGTGGGTGTTAATTGTACACCGCCTACCAGCTTTTATCGTCACCCCGTATTAGGAAGTGGTGTCGCCTGGTCCACGCCATCTAGTGGGCTGAATGGCCATCTGGAACTGTACAACCGTCTCAGAAGCTACTTCAATAGGATAAATAAAATACTCAAATAACTTACCAAGGCAAGCTCGACTGCGACTACATTACTCCCTGTAAGTTCAAACCCGTAAGTACTTTTGTTAAGGGTATGGCCATACTTATCAAGCATATCAGCACGCCTATGTGATCTGTACAGTAGGTACGTTGTCTGTTTATTATTGTTATAATCTTATATACTTACCGGTTAACGAATATTTTATTGTTGCCGCAGTTTTGCTTTGTTGTTGGTTATGTACCCATGCAGCATCTGATTTTAGCTACCTATTTGCTTATTTATTATATGTATTGAAACAAGGTTGAGTTTTCTTACCTAACATCTGATCGGCAGAGTAACGAGGCAACCGAAGCTGCTAGGAATCACGCCTGGAGAGGTGGGTATCATTACCCGCCGATATTTGGAATAGTTTCTCATGCTCGTCTGTAGTATCATTGTGTAGATTTGTTGCACTATGGTAGTATATAAATTTTCGTGATAATACTACACAACAAAAACAACAAAAATATTCCCCCTTACAACATCCGAGCCTACAACCTCCTCACAAAACTAAACCTTTGGCAACGTGAATTTCTACAACCTACAAAAATAAACGCCCCATGGACCCTCCCCAACATCAAAGTCGATTTAAGCCTGACCAACCACAAAAAAACAAACACCTCACCGTTAGAGTACCACAGCCTCATAAACGAACTAATTGCAAAATACAGCGATTACAATAAAATATACACAAGACGGTTCTAAAAGTAGTGAGTCTGTAGGCAGTGCGATTGTCAGCAAAAACTTAAATACAATGTACAAGCTAAATGACGGAACGTCTATCTTTACCGCGGAACTATACGCTATCCTACAAGCGACCAAGCTCATACTAAGAAGAGATCACGAAGAAAAGTGGATTCTCATAACAGATTCTCTATCCGCACTCACCGCAATACAGCACATCTATTGCACGCACCCTTGTGTACAAGAAATACACACGACCCTAACACACCTAAGCCGAAAAAACAAAAAGATCGTCTTCGCATGGACCCCATCTCATAGAGGTATCACAGGAAACGAAGAAGCCGACCAACTAGCCAAACATGCCCTCACATCTGCAGAAGCAACAATCGAAAACCTATCCACAAAAGAAGACCACCAAAAATACACAAAAAAAACCGTAAGAAGAGAATGGGAAAGAGAATGGTCCTCATGTGAAAACCTACTGAGGTCCATAAAAGACGACACCCAGAAATGGAAAACCAAAAGGTCATTCACCAGGAAAGAAGAAGTAATTATAACACGACTCAGGATTGGGCACACGCATCTCACCCATGGGTACCTTATGGAAAAAAACCCTCAACCCCCTCCCCGATGCGAAAACTGCAACAGAGGGCTAACAGTGAAACACCTTCTGATCGAGTGCCCAGAATACACCAACCAAAGAACCATGAGCGGCCTAGCACAAAAAAATCTTCAATGTATCCTGAACAAACACTCCGAACTACCAAATGTTATCAAATATCTTAAGGCAATTAACAAACTTGATCTTATCTAATGTAACTACATACATATGTAACAGTGCCAATGACCTCAGCAGTTGAGGCACTCAAATTTCATAATAAAAAAAAAAAAAAAAACAGAAGTTGCATCTTACAAATGGGAAATGAATGCAAGTCGAAATGCGCTCTTTGTAAATCGTTTACGATTACTTTTTAACTTGTTTAATCATTTGGTCGCACTAAGCATTCCACCATGGAGAAGCATTGCGGGAAAAAAATTTTAATTTTAACTTTACGCAAAAATGTCATTCTTTATAAAAAATTTTTGCTTGCCTCAAAACCACCTATTCTGAAATAAAAAGCTAGATATTCCTTTTAGCAGCTGAGAAAATTACAAAAAACGCAAAATCTACAGCGGAAATGTTTCTAAGTTGCATGTTTTTCATTAAATCAGACTATCATTGTATCTTCCATGGCAAAAAATCATTCTGTCAATGAAGATACGATCCACAATGTTTATAAAGAATTTTATGTAGAGCTGAAAAGTGTGTAGAGGTTGGAGGATACCACATGGAAATCGATTTAATTTAACCCCATTTATGGTATTTATTAATATGGTCCTAAACTAGCGATTCATTATTAACCTCAAAATCCTCCAAATCTGTTATAGTGAGGTTGGGGGGAGCGTTTGGAATTCTAAAAGAGAATTGATTCTACTTGTACTCAGTTTTTAAAAATAAAATAGGGAAACTTTTAAATAATAGCACATAACGTATGCGAAATGTATGTATTTCTCCTTAAATGATAGTTATGACAACTAGAAACATATTATTCCAGCTCTACCAGACATAAAAAATGACAAAATTAAAAAAGATGGCGTGCAGTGTCGGAACACGTCGGTAGAGTAATTGTACTACGAAATATGGTCTCACTCCGGGGACTTTCAGTTTTTTTGGGGACATAGTGTAATGGCTCTAACATTAAAGTAACTAAAGCGGAAAATATTCATGAACGAGCTGTTATATCAGTGAGACACCTTTTAGCACATAAAACTACCTCGTTTTATGTACAGTGTATTCACTACTTTTCTGTTTTCAATTTAAAATGTTCGAAATTGAGTATGTTTTATGGCACAATATTTTTAGTTGATACGGCAGATAAAATGTTTCCATTAAGTTCATCCACATTGTTGCTAATATTGGTATCTCGAAACTTCAACAACGCACCATTGAGTGATGCCATTGTAATGTCATATCCGATGTCGTGCGTAAATGCATGTAGGGAGGACAACACGTTCGAACGATCTTCGGTATCATCCACCTCATATGAGTTTACATGTGGCTGAAATTTACTTTCGATATATCTGATATTTATGTAGAAGCATGTAAGGTATATAACCTATAATGTGGCACAGTTTCCATTGTGATACAGTAAGAATTAGCAAAGAACAGAATTACCAGAAATGTTATGAGCTTTAATACGCAGGGTTAGGTTTATGGAGGGTAGATATGGGGGCACATATCAATAAAACAATTTTTTGTGCGCATTACTTATTCAGATCACGATTGCTACAATTATTGGTAAGTCAGATAATGCCATCTATATAGGTGTAAACGAAAGGTGTATTCAACGAAAGATACGAAACGCCGCTCCAATTGTCGAGTCAGCAGCGCAAGCGGCACGTGCTACAGCCTTATCGCATTTACACACCTATCGACACATGATGTAATGCTCTCTCTCCAGAGCGTTTGATCAAATCAGTACCGTGTTACACTTTCGATCGTTCGTTTTGTTCCTGGGGCGACGAACGTCACATTCACATTACTTAATAACTAAGCGGGTTACATTGGAACCGAGGCTAAGTTTTCGGAATATCCGAGAAAATTTACTATATGCCAACTTTAGGGTTGGTTTGTGATCATCAAAACGTAAAGATTACGTGAAAACCATTTCTCCCATCTGCAGCATCTTTTTTATTTCCTTATTTTCATTTTTTATGGAGTCGCACAAAAAGTCAATTTCCAGAGCGGACGGTAAACGGAAAATATCAATTGTTGGTTTCTGTGTAAACACTTTGTTTAAAATGCCCCTATTTATTTACCTAACTAATAAACATCATTTTCCAGTTTCAAATTTGAGACGTTCATTTTCCAACTGAAGGTGGAAAACACTAAATTCCATTTTAATCATAATAATCGGATAAAAAATTCAGGACGAGTTTATCATGTTTTACAAATTCCTTCGCAAATTTAGAGATTCTTTTTTAAAAGCACTAGCTTCAGTTCTACCTTTTTTTTATTTATAGCGTGTAACACCCTTCGTTGCATCTGCTATTTACCTTCTTCCTTCAATACATTGTGAATGATTTTATGTTCCCTTTTGACCCATTTACATTTCATTTTAATTTGCCTTTCACCATTCTTCTTTCAGTTTTAAATAAATTGCGCGACCGGCCATTAAGCATTCTCAAAGTCAATTTTTCAGAGGCGCGACTGTTTTCTGTCGCATAAACAAATATCGGAATTTTGCGCCGCGTGCCGGAAACCGTCGACAATTCGGTTACGTGGGTGTCTCCCCTTTTTACCATAATGGGAAGCCACAATTATTCTAACAAATGTACACAAAGCAGGTTATAACCCCCAAAAATAAAGAACCTACATATATTTGAAACTACTTGGGGCGCGACATCCCTTAACAGATTAATAAAATGCACAGTGTACTCTAAAAATTATGTGTAATACGTTAATGGAAACCAACCTTTGGTCACTTCTTCGGGTAAGAGAGTCCGTATGGAAAATTGGTGTACACTGTACATACTAGAGACATGGCCCAAAAATGGCGGCGAACGATGAAATCGAGAATGATTCACAACGCTGTACCGTTTGTGGTAAAAATACTTCCAAAAAAGGGGTGCAGTGTGTGCGTGCAATCAGTGTATGTAAAAAAACATGATACGCATATTTCAAAAACCAAAATCGATGTGGATTTTATTAAATGTGATAAACCCGGTAAATAATAATAATAATAAACCAGACACAGACACTAATCGTTACTTGATTTTAATCCGTGCGATTAGTTAACCAGGCTAGACCTGAGTTCTCACAAGAAACACCGACCATAATAATAATAATTAATTTATTGTCTAACAGCAAAACACGCCAATTCTAAGACAATGTAGAAAAATTACAATGAATGTACATAGATACAATAAAAATAGATATCTATACAATTTAAACTATAAATATAACCTTACTAGTAATATATTTATGAAAAAGTATAAAGTATGAAAAACAATAAACTGATATAAACGAAAGATAAACGAAAATTAGTAAACTTAACATTGAAATTACTCCTAGCATCTTAATTCAGGGGGTTCTAGTATAGCTGTTGTCGTTGACACTTGTGCACATTGTGTAAATTGGCTACCTACCTAAACACCATCACGGCACATTGTTAAAACAAATTAATTATGGTTTTTTAATTAGTGTCTAAAATGTTTTATAATAGCCTGAAGAGCTAGCAGGAGCGATAAAAATTAGGCCACTTTGATATGTTAAGAGGCACAGTGGACAAACTATTAAAGTAAAATATAGCAAAGATTACAGTATTGCCTCTAAAATTCATAGGAAATCGACTTTTTCATTAAATAGTCTGGAATTGTCATAGCTTCCAGATGCGACACTTTCGCAGATGCAGTTAATATAGCCCTCGAAGCCGAAATACCCCAACCTAATCAAAGCCAAATTTTCAATATGAAACGAGGTAATTTTAGACGACAGTTTAAGTCAGTTTTATTTTTAAACTACTACGGTAACTCCTGCCCTAACAAAGATCACGATCCTATTTCTACACTTGGATTTTTGAACACGCTATGGGGATAAACCCTAAAACACTTTTACCCACAGTTTCAGTTATTCTATCTGCCATTGTCCACACCGCGTGCATCCCCAAAAGAATCATTTCTTTTCTAACGCATCATACTTTCATTCATTTTATGGGATATTAGCCTTTCAAATTACCTATGCACTTACGAGTTTCCTACATGTATTAAAAAACTGTTTGACGTACAAA